CAGGTGGCAAATGTAGTAGTAGTGATAGTAGTAATATAATGCAGAATCAAAAGATCCCCTCCCCCCAGCACATCTTAATGCACATGCTGCCTCTGCCTTAGTCGCAGCTGCTAAATTCAGCAAGTTCAACACAGCCCAATGCTGATGCCAAGATTAACACTCCCAGGCCCAGGCTCTGGCGGCATCCTCTGCATATATACACAGAATTCACAATGCCAGCATTAACACCCTTTAGGCAGGTGATGTATATGATGCCAGCCTGATTGTGCTAGCCAACATGACCTAGCACCAAACAGATGTCCACTTGGAACCCAACTACTGTTATTGGTGTAGAAGTCAAACACACCCCTCCCAATATCGCGTTTCTCGCTGCAGGTTATTGGACACACTCCAAGGAACGAAAACCTCCCCCAAGTCAGCAGCATGGCTCCCAGCCCAGCCTCATCAGGGACTCCTGCTTCCTTCCAGGGACCCCAAAGTATGATGGATACCGAGACAGATGAGTACATTGACTACACAGGATGCAGCCCTGGTGGCATCTCCTCTGAGTCCTCCAATATGGACCGCAGCTGCTCCAGCACGCCAGTGGGCAACGAAAGCACTTCAGCCGGTAAGTGACACTGGGAGGAAACGGTTTATTGGTGACGCTTTGCTTCTGAGCAGCCTAAAAGTTGCATCCCTTGGGTGCTCTCTCGCACAAGCTGCGCCAAATCCTCCTCCTGCCATGTGTGTCATTTAAGAGAGCCCCTTTGACATCACCATTCCTGGTTTGTGAAAGTATTTTTATTCTGATCCAGAATGGGATGTGCAGCTCATACCTTGCTAAAATAATTCCTGATGGAAATAAAGGTATCAGTACTTGCTCACTTAAAATCTCCCCACCACCACCCCAGTGATCAAACAAATTGAACTTTACACAGTTGCCCTTTGGGGAGATTATTATACTGTGATCCAGGTTTGGGGGGGAAATTCTAGCACCTGTCACCAATCTAAGCAAGAGTGTCAGGGCTTGGGGTTATCAGGGGGACACGTCTGTGTGGTTGGCTGGCACACCCCACAATTTCATCAAGGAGCATTAACCTAAAAAGATACCTCAGAGTATCCCCATAATAGCCATTTTTAAAAGTAACTGTTCCCCACACCACAGTTCAAGTTGATGGCCTTTGTTTGGGGCAGCCTGCTGGGGCTGATGGAAACGCATTACTAAAAAACACCGGTCAATATCAGGACGGCAAGTAAATGCTAATCACAACCACTCCACAAACAGGGCAGAGCATAGAAACTCATAGCACTAAGGAAGTAGCCATACTCTTCTCTTTAAACTGCACCACTGCTCATCACACCTCTCCAGGATGACGGTGCTTGACTGTAGCCAGCCTGCCACAAACCAGATGGGGAGGGCAGGCGGTAAAACTACAGTCGTCCCTCTTTTGATACTCACAGGGCCCTCTGCCACCTCTTGCTCTTCCCTGTTGGTCTCTGGGTATGTTCACTCCATCACTGCTGTCCATCACACTCTCCATCTCCTCTGTCAGTGGTTCCATTCTTGTACGTGTGAACGTGCTCTCCATTTTCATTGTACTGCTTACACTCTTGGGTTCTCATTTTGGTTCTATTTTTTTCTTTTCTTTTCCTTCTGTTCTGTTTTTCCCCCCTGCTATTTTTTTCTTTCTTTCCACATTTCTCCAGGCTGCCTGGCTGCTGCTGCTGCTCCTCCTCCTGCTGCTGGTGATGACGTTACCCAAAATGCACCACAACCACCACCTCTGCCTCCATCTTTCTCACAAGCCCTGCTCAGGTCTCCCCTTCCTTCCCTCCCGTATCTCTTCTCTCCATCTTGTGTCTCATACTCTCTGCTAAGTGCCACTCTGGGATCCAGCAGGGGCCTTGTCTTGCCCACCGCCAGCTCAACAGGGTTTTCACCCATCATTGCCGCCCCAACTCCAGTCAAAAGCGATGTCCCTCTAGTGCAGGATGCGGCAGGTAAAACCATTCTACACTTTCTCTCATACTTTTACAGCCCCACCCACCACATCCTACCCAAAAGGCTCCACCTCCCTGTCCTTCCACTAAAGTCCTAGGGATGACAAACTGATGCTCAAAATGACACCTACAGTTATTGGATTGCCATTTTTTTATATATAAAAATCAATTTACAGAAGACCAATTTTTGATTGCAATAGTAGGTAAGACGAAGGGAGGTTAACCTACAGGCCACAGAGAAATCCACCTCAGCACAAAAAGTGATTTCTTTAAAAAAGGAACATTTGTTCATATTTTTTAATTGTGTGTGTGTGTGTGTGTATTTCTAATTACTGATTGATCCTCTGCCCCTCTGATCACAAACGGTTTCCTGTGCCACCCAATGCGAGCGGCTAATAGCAAAGGGGTTTTATGACAGTTAAATAACCACTTTGATATGCAGCCCCCAAAGACTTGATGGTGGGTCAGTGTGGCCTTTGGCCCTTAAAAGCTTAGTCACTCTTGGACTAGGCAACTAGTCTCATTTTCAGAAATGATTTGCACATGAACAGGTGTTTAGCATGCTACCTGAATCTACTCATCAACTCCCTCCACAGCAGCAACCTCAGGACTCAAATCTGGCTCACCCAATCACCATCTCTCTACAGTCATGGTGGCCCAAGTAGGGTACAGAGCCTAGAAATCTGAAAAGTTTATTCAGCCCTGGTTAAGAATGCCGCCAGCTCCTAAACATTGGATGCTGTCCCATGAGAATTTGACCCCAGTGATTGTGGTCTCCTAAATTTATCCCTTGTGAAAACCCCTTTTCACTCTTTGGGTTGGGCATAAACATTCTCTCCTATGCAAACTGTTTCTAAGGGACAGGCTTCCCAATGTGCTGCTCTTGCCCAGGAGACTACACAGCCCATTCTGGACTTACCCCTTACCACTTCTGTGAGGAGCAAGATCAGTGCAAGCTGAAGGTCTGTGTATTCATGGCCCAGGATAGTTGTTGGAGCAACATTAGATGCATGTGGTTGTTGGTTTTATAGCCATAATTAGTTCATTTTATTGTGTTTCATTTAAGTCACCCTTACTTACTAGCTTGTTCCTAAAAAAACGCAAGGAGAGAAATCTCATTAAAGCAGCGCTGGGGAACTTGTGTCACTGGACTCCAATTCCCATCACCCCCAGACAACATGGTCAGGGATTATGGGAGTTGGAATCCAGCAACATCTGGAGGGCTGCATGTCTGACTTTGAGTGAGTGAAACAGTAAAGTTATATCAGATGAGAGACAAGTTGCTCATTGCTCTCCATGTCACATGCAAGTTCCAGGTAAAACATCTTTTTTTAAAAAAAGAGAGGGAGGGAATAGTGTTGAGCCCGTGGTTTATTAACATGGTCTGGTCCTGGCTTGCGGCTACTGCTCCTTTGATGTAGTGAGAGTACAAATATTTAGGTACGAGAGTGGAGTCACAAAGCACTCTCTCACAGATAAAGTGCCAAAGGAACAAAGGCAGAGCAGGTAAAAAAAAGGTGTAATGACCAGAAGTACAAGGCCTTCCTTTCTCCATCTCTTAAGTCTATTCATCTCTTGCCAAACCACTTCAAGGGAATGAAAAGATTGGCTTTGCAGTGGCCAGGCTTTGGGGATGAGGTGGATGGAATGAGTTTGCCTGAAGGAGCCTATGTACAGTATTGCCATTCCTCTCACTGCCTAGAAACTGTAAAGATCAAGAACGCTGGGCAAACACTGCTTGTCTGAACCCAACCCAATTAGCTAGGCAGAAAAGAGAAGTGGGTCTGATGCAGAGTCCAGTTCTAAAATCCCCTCTGCCCATTTCATTTCCCCAGGGAACACCATCACCATGCCAACCGCCGCAGGGGCCAAGAAGCGCTTCTGGATCATTGAGGACATGTCCCCATTTGGCAAGCGGCGCAAAACGGCCTCCTCCCGCAAGATGCTGGACGAAGGAATGATGCTGGAGGGCTTCCGGCGCTACGACCTCTACGAAGACTGCAAGGATGCCAGCTGCCAGTTCTCACTGAAGGTCACCCACTACCACTGCACAAGGGAGAACTGCGGCTACAAGTTTTGCGGCCGCACCCACATGTACAAGCATGCCCAGCACCACGACCGCGTCGACAACCTGGTGCTGGACGACTTCAAGCGCTTCAAGTCCTCCCTGAGCTGCAACTTCCCCGACTGCCAGTTCTCGGGAAACAGCACGCACTTCCACTGCCTGCGCTGCGGCTTCCGCTGCACCGACAGCACCAAGGTGACGGCCCACCGCAAGCACCACGGCAAGCAGGACGTCATCAGCGCCGCAGGCTTCTGCCAGTTCAGCTCCAGCGTGGACTGCGAGGTGCCTGACTGCAAGTACAAACTCAAGTGCTCCCACTTCCACTGCACCTACCCCGGCTGCAAGCACACGGTGGTGGGCATGTCACAGATGGACTCGCACAAGCGCAAGCACGAGAAACAGGAGCGCGGAGAGCTGCCGGCCATCTCTCCGGGCCCCGAGGCCCTCCCGCCCTCCACACTGGAGTACGATGCGCAGAACTCTTCCGTCAACCTTGACAGCTCGCTCAACCTCGGCACTGACACAAACAGCTCCCTCTTCTTCCTGCAGAACGCAGCGGGCGTGGGCCTCAACGACTCCTTGGACCTCAGCCAGAAATTGCCAGAGGCTGCGGGCGCTGCCCCTTCCCCCGCTGGGGAGGGTGGGGTCCCCGTGGAGAGCGAGCGGCTTCCAGCCAGCTGTGGCAACGTGGAGGACGACTCCTCCCACGACGAGGAGGAGGATGAGGAGGAAATGAATGAGGAAGACGAGGAGGAGGAAGATGACGACGATGATGACGACGACGATGAGGAAGATCTGAACACAGACTCTGAAGAGTCACTTCCTGACCCCCAGGCCATGCCTGCTAAGGACGTTAGGGAACTGGGGGAGGCTGCTTCTCCTTCTGCAGTCCACAGCGATGCTTCCAGACCTCCAGGCGAGCAAGCCCCCGCCTCTGAGGCCTCCCCTTAACTTATAGACAGCAGCAGCAGGGTTTTTTGATCTTTTAAAAAAATAAGAAACTGAATTAAATGAGAGGACCCCGCTTTGTGAGGCGCGAACAAACGCTGGAACGACAAGCAGCAAAGAGAAACACACACACCCAACCCCACCCCAGGAAGTGCACAAGATAACGAGGAAGCCGCTTAATCCTTGGACCATGCAAAAAATAAAAAGGAAAGAAGCCTTGTGCCCATGGGAAGGGCAGGGGGAGGCGGAGGGACCCATCTGTTGGGACGCACATGTTTACAGGGTGGCAGACGGCAAATCTTTTTACTAATATGCAGATGGGTTGGGCCATGGAGAAGTGACCCTCCTTCTCCTGGATGGATGTGCTAACCATAAGGGCAAATGTCTCCCCTGCCACTTCCCCCAAAATCTCCCCTTGTTGGTTTGGAGGGGGGGAGTGGGGTTGTTTCTTTTCCTCTTTAACTTCTATTTTATTTTCCTGTTTTCATTTTGTCCTTTAACACTCCTCCCATTCTCAGGGAGAGGGGGCAGCTAGCATCCGATGGTGAATATTAGGGGGTGATAATAATATATTATTTACAAAAATGAGGATTTGGTTCCTTTAAGCCACAAAAGCGAAGTTATTCGCCATTAGGCATAATTGGGGTTGGGGGAGGGCATCAGTCATACTTCTATTTTTCTCTCTCCTCTCTTCTCCAACATCAAATGAACAGGAGAAATGGGGGTCTCAGGCAGCTTGGGTTGGTTGGGAAATGGGGTATTTATTGTCAGTTTTTTAAATAAAATAAAAGAGAAAGAGAAGCATTAATGAACTGAACGGGGCTGGGAATATGCGGATACTTCTCTGATCCTCTTTGTTATTAAAGAATAATAATAATATTAATCTTTTTTTTTTTTTAAGGAAGAAAGAACTTATTTATATTGTGACACTCCCACACCTGAGTGGGGAGTGTTCCTTTTCTGGTGGGGCTCTGACCGGTGGCAGCAAGTACGGGGTATGGCACTGAAAAGAACCCTTGGTTGTGAAAGGGAGGCTTGGATTTAACCAGAGCCAACCCAAACACCGCTGCCTTGCGGAGAGGGGGTGCCAACTGCTTCTTTTCCAGACTGCAAGGCCACCCCCAACAAGTAGGGTAGAGACCCAGGAGCTCAGGATACCCCTCCACCTCGCTGCTAATGAAAGAAGAGGAGGTGGAAGATGCAAGTACCTCATAAAGAGTAGGCAGGCCCAAGTAGTACTTGGTCTTACTGGGAGATGGCTTAGCTACAGGAAGGAAGCAGAGGTGTTACCCTTCTCTACCATTGTTCCCACCCCCCACCTTCACCCCATTTAAGCATGCTTTATGAAGGCTGAAAGAGGGCATGCGTCTTTTAGTGGGAACAAGTTGGGGGAGGATAAATATTAGCTACTGCAACCCATCCCATCAAGCCACACATAGGGCTCTTACCTTAAGATTCTCGGGCAGAGAGGGTGATGCTCTTCTGAATCCCAGGACAGAAATGTTTCCTGTCCCTTTGCCCTTTGTGGAGCTGTGGATAGGAAGAGGCCACTTGAATTGGTTGCTCCACAATTAAAACAGCTGCACAGCAAACTCATTTGGCATACAAATAATCTAATGTCCCTTGCCCACCTGCCCTGCACTCCCCCAGGTCACCAGATCAGGCATAGCCTAAAAGGGGGGGAGGACATTAAAAAACAAAAACAAAGAAGGAAACAGGCACCCAAAATGGCTCTGCAGATCTCCATAGGTCCTTTGCTTCCAATGCATTTGGTGGTTTTGAGTCATTAAAAGCTAATGAAACCAGCCACACACAACAACCCTCGTGTCTAACAGACATGCCATTTTAGTGCAAAAAAAGGCTGAGAGCTTTATTAGTCTTAGTTTTTGAATATCCCTCTCAAACAATCACACCCAAAACAACTTGACAGTTCAGTAAGAATGTGGTCCACGGACACTTTTTAAACTTTCTTAAAATATTAACAGTAAGGGAAAGGAGGAGGAAAGCTAAAAGAGTGGCAAAGAAAAGGATAAAGGATATGTCCAGGAAAAAAAGATAGCTGTACAGTATTTTTGCCCCTGTAAAGGTTACGAATAGATATAGAGATATATAGAATATATAGAACAGAGAGAAAGGAGACATACCAAGATAATACTCTGTGAGTATCCAGTGAAGAATGCTACCCTGAGGAACAGACCCTTCAACATCCTATTTGGTTGCTCACCAACAATTATCTCCTTCACACACAAGTGTGGACACTAATTCCCACCACCTCCAGCTAGTCAAAAAACTTGTTGGGGGGGGCAAAAGCTACAGAAAGGGGGTCTTCCCTACCATCATTTTCCTACTCTCAGTATAGAGTATCAAGTGATTCTGAATTTGAATTTCAGCCAGGCAGACATTTTAAAAGAGACACAAAAAAGCCCTGTCATTTAATGAAACACACTTCATGCACTCTCTCTTATCCACAGACACACCACTCTCTCTTATCCACAGACACACTCCAATTTGATTTGTAGTAATATGCATAGGGTGTTTTTTTATTTGTTCTTAATTTTATTGTGGGAGGTTGGGGACAATTGTTTCTTCAAGAACCATCTCAGCCTCCTATGACTCTTCCCACAGCTTTAAAAGAAAAAGCTTGAACCTCATTCATGACAGTTTCTGGATTTTTATAAAACAAATGTAATTAATTATTAGCCATTTCAAATGTATGGGCAGTCAGGTTATAAATATTTTTTTTTCTAAAAAAGAAACCTCACCAAGAGCCTACCTTTTCCTGGTAGTTTTGACTTGGCAAAGGTGCTCCTTGGAACATCTAATTAGATGGTAGCAAGTCTCCACACCGCTGCCTCCTCTGCTTTTTTAAATTCCAGGATGGGGCAGGTTATGGTCTCATAGCGTGACCATAGGTCACATCAACAGACGCACATCAAAATTACCTAAGAGAATAGGCACAATGAGGTCTTACTCTTCCCTGTCCTCTCAGTCTCTTGAAAGGACTTGAGTTTGGTAAACATGGTAGTGAGGTATTTATGTTTAAGAAGTTTGGGCAAACTCTCAGCACATTCTTATCCCCCTCCTGTTCTCACCACTTAGGTGTCTCGCTAAAAGGTGCTACAGAAAACTCTTGCTTGCAGACAAGGTTTTGGAAATCTGTGATGCACTGCAGGGTGAGAGGCAATGGATAAGCCCTTTTTTATGTTTCTATACATTTTGGGGTCTTTTTTAATACAAGCAGGCAGTTACGACCCTCTGGTGGTTGCAGAGTAGTAAGATGGCCTCCCCTGGGTTTCTGGTCCATTGGTGTTGGCCAGTGGTTACTAGTGGGCAAGAAAGGAAGGGGTGGGAAGAGAAGAATTTGCAGAACAGGTACAGTTTACATTAGCAAGTTATGCACTTCTTCCTATGTAACTGTTAGGATCTGACTGGAATTCTTATTTCCCCACTGAGAATCACCCAGTAACCAGTTTTCCCATTGTTTCGACCACCTTCAGTTCCAACAAAAAGTCTGCCAAGTTGAACTAGTTTTAACACCTAATGACTGGTCCCTCTATACTTCCCCAGTTTCACAACCTTCTCCCCCTCCTTCTCTGCCTAAAACAAAAAGAATGAAAAAACAGGTCTTTATATTTATATATATGTTAAATGTTTATCAACTGCATCCTGATGGACATCCTGATTCAGAAAGAAGCACTTCAGTGTCCCCAGGTGTTAAGAGGAGGACATTTAAGAATGAGCTTAAAAGTTCAGAGCAAGCATAAACCTTTGGATGGACCTAAGCGTGTCATTTTACAGAGCAGGAGAGGCCACCAGTTAGCAACAAAGCAAGATTATTCAACCTTTCCCCCCACACAACATAACCTTTCCTGATTCTGTGTCCTCTCATCCCACTCACAGTAGGCAAATTTGGACATGGTAAAATTTAGCATGGCTGAAAGTATAGGGGTGGTAAATGCATCCTCTGTGCAGGAGGGGGGAACTCACCTGTTCCCGCTGCCCCCAGGCAGGCTCACATTCATGTCCTGTATCCCATGGAAATTTAGTAGCTGAGTCCCAAGCATAAGTGATGGTGGTGCTGATGATGTGTGGAGAAGATGTTTAGGCAGCCAGTTTGCGCCTCTCCAGGACAGCTGGTGGCCATAGATTTAAAAGGCATATTATGCTTTGACAACTATTGCTGAAATGGAGCCAGCGGAATATAGAACTTGGTGGCTTTAGGGGGACCATGTGTTTGGGGGGGATGTGTAAAGAACAAGAGAGTGAGTTTTAAAAACCAAACCTCTGAAGCCCTAAGTGTAGATCCTTTCATTACTGCTTTGTCGTTGAAAAGGGGGGGGGGGGAGGAACCTAGCCACCAAATAAATACATAAATTATTATAAAGTTCACCTGTATTGAAAGAGAACTGTATTTCAATATAGACAAAGAAATGGTGTTTGTTTTTTAATGGCCCTAGATTTTAAAAGGAAAACACACACAAAAACATACACACACAGAAGAACAGGAAGACAAAAATATGAGGGAGAAATTCTAGCCTTTTGTAAAATCCATATTGCACACTAGGACTATAAGCCATTGCTAGCTCATTTTGAATTTTAAAATGTGTACTTTCTTTTGTTGTTGTTTTTATTTTATTTTATTTCTTTCTGTGTGGGAGGGGTGGGGAGGGAGAAAAAGAAGAAGTGATGCTTGAACTACCAATGCTCTTTTTAATGTTTTATAAATATGTATGTGTATATATATAAATATAAATATAATATGTATGCACATATATATATATATGTGTGTGTATATATCTATATGTATATACCTATATATATAGATATATAGCTATATATAGGTTTTGAGACAAAAAATAATAATGCAGAAAGTGAAAAAAAAATCCTAACAGGACGGTGTGCTCTGATTTTACTTGAATTTGGTCTTCTCAGCACCTACGTTATTAAGAACTGAATATTTTTCCACTTGAATTTAGTGCTATTAGAAATTTAATATATGTGTTTTATTTATTTGATTTTTTTTTTTGCATGACTGATGCAAGGTTTGACATTTTCACTCAATAAAAACTGGAAAAAACCAAACAAACAAAAAGCCAACCAATCACAGCTTTCTGTTGATTTGTAGCATTGCACTGACTTTTAACTAGCATCTTTAACAGTCCTACTTTTTAATTATTTATTTTACATATTTAGTTAATAGCACTTCTTGAGCTCAGACATGTTTCATCTCTCTGCTCCAAGAGCAAAGCTGAGGTAATTACTGGCATTGTAGAAAGCTACCAGCTGCCCAGGTTAGGCCTGTCATTGGGGTCTGGAAAACCAAATTATACTCCCCATATGCAGAAAAAAATAGCTTCATTAAACCCCAGACTAACAGACCCCACAATTCTCCTGATGACGACACTAGAAACACAATGGAGTCTGAGCTCAACCCCTATGTCCCTCCCTCCCACCCTGCAACACAAACATCTAAAAACTGAGCCGAAGAAGAACTCTTGGGGCTGTAACACTGCCCTTGCAGGTCAGATATGCATAGCAGCTCAAAAAGAGTTACAAAATGTACAGATACGAGGTGTGGCATTCCAAAGCCTAAAGAGATATCCATACCATTAAGGGCTATCTAGCTCCTTTGGTTAAATGCCCGGTGATGCAACCATCATCTAAACCGGGAATGGGGAACCATTTTCAGTTCAAGGACAACTTCTGCCTTTCTGGGCAACCTTCCAAGGGCCACATGCCAGGGTAGCTGGGGCCAGAGGCAAAAGTGAGGAACACAGCACATGTGGATTTTGCCTTTGTACCATAAGTTAGTTTCACACATACTGAGGCACCCCTCTCTATCCTCCATCCAGACAACCAAGAGGCATTATAAGAGTTAAGGACACATTCCAGTGAGCCAAAAAATCAAAAACCACCAACCACTCAAAAGAGGGCACAAAGCAGGGTCAGTGAGCGATGTGGCTAGGGAGAGTCCTAAGGGACAAGGTAAAGAGGCCTATAGGACCACACTGATCTAAACAATAGTCAAATTTATTTTTTAAAAAAAGACTTGCAAATTACTTTGAGGTTGGTGTGTAGAATGGCTAAATGTACTGTGTGTTGTGAATAACGTGTCACACTGAGTTCAAATCACTACTCAGCCATGGAATTCACTAGATGACCTTGCAGAAGTCTGCCTCCCACTTAGGCTCACCTAATTCAGAAGATTATTAAGATAAAAGAAAGAGACCATGCACTCTGCCTGGAGCTCAGTAATCCCACATTTTGCAGGCAGAGGAACGGAGGCTGGGAACAGGACTTTCTGGTCATAACCAAGCTTGGATTCAAATGAAGTTTCACTGCGGCCTGATAGATAAATGCCTTTGTCACCTTCACCCATGAAGACAAAAGTATGAGCAGCTTCTGTGTATATATTGATTCTTAATTAACGCCAAAAGCACATGGGAGATCATGGGCCTACCAGCGACTCCTCAAATGAGCCCAGGATCAGTTTCAGCCTGCTTCCCTGGTGGCACTGGGCCCCAATGTTCTAATTCTCCATTTCCCCAGAAACTACTGTGCCCCTACTCCAAAATCATCCAATGAGTTACACATAACAGTGCTGTTCCACCTCTAGGCCCACTTTTAAACACAACAAGGGATCTTTGTTTTAATTTATGAGATGTGTTCCTGTTTCTTAGGATGTATCGACACTGCTGACAGACTGGTTATAAGTGATCTTTCTCCTTAGCCAATGATAGGGTTCCAGGGGTGCCAAAATCTCTGGCAGGCAGCTCTTTGCACCCACACTGAAAAAATTCTCAGGATTCATTGGGAGAGTAAATCATGACAGTTGTTAAGTCATCACACACACACACACCTAGTATAGCTCTATCTTACTCTCTTCTTCCTGCCTTTTCTTTAAAAGCATAAAAATGTACATTCTAGTGCCACTGGTGTGACCCATTGTAAGCTGATCCCAACTTACTAGTAGTACACAAATGGAATAAAACATATGAAACACAGCCCAATTTTGTGTATACCTTGGCAAAGTATGACAGCAGCAAAATTGACCAACACACAAACCTACCTTCCCATGATCTAAGGGGTGGGTCAGGTGAACTGAGCACTGGAATGTGAGGGGCTAACTTTTATGATTGAGCCTCTTATGCAAAGGCTTAGCCACCTTCACCCTCTTTGTTGAAATCTGGGTTGGAGAGAAGCAAGATCCATGACGATGCAGTGCTTCCAAGTTCTGGGCAGCCACAAACTCTGCATGCTGACTCCTAAACAAGAAGAAGACAGGACATAAGAAGAGCTCTGCTGGTTCAGACCAAAAGGCCCATCTAGTGCAATATCTTATTCCCCACAGTGGCCAATCAGACATCTCCAGGAAGCACACACAGGTCATGAAGGCAAGAGCTGGTCTGAAGCAGAATGGTCTGTTTAGTTCTTGCAGGCAATACCTGCTGACATCACCCTTCAGGAAATGGTCTCATTTCTTTTTAAAGCCATATAAGCTAGCGGACACAGACACACACCTTATTCATTATTTCTTTAAGTGATTTATATTCTGCCTTTCAACTATAGTCCTCAAAGTGGCTAACAACATTCATAAATACAGATCTTGGAACCAGGGGTCCTGTTGCTTACCCTCCACCCCACCCCTCACACGTTCCTTACAGGATACTTTGGGTGGTATCCAACTAAGTCCTACTCAGACTAGATCCATAAAAATTAGTGGGCTTAAGTTTTTAGTGTCTTAGTTTCAATGAGTCAACTCTTTAGTAGGGCTAGCATTCGATACAACCTCTTTCTGAAAGCTGGCCTAAATTTGCATCTGTTCATATAAATTAGCATATGCAAATTTCAATCTTCTAATCATCTAGCAACAGACCTGGTGGCAGCATATTTCACAAATTAACAATGTTCTTTGTGAACAACTATATCATTCTGTCTGTTCTGAATATACTACTGATCAATTTGATTAGATGGCCCAGAGTTTCTGGCATAGGAGAGAGGGAGACCAAACCTAGTTGGAACAGGCCTTTGAGAGTTGTTCATTAGTAAGCTTAGCCCTCCTAATAGTTTGCAGTCAATGTGTGGGGATGAGGTTAGACTCCCAAGTCCCATCAGCCTCAGCCACCACAGCCAATGGTGAGGGAAAGAATAATAGAATTGCAGAGTTGGAAGGGACCTTGAGGGTCATCTAGCCCAACCTCTTAAGAAATATAAGTGACACAGGTACAGTTCCTCTTTCTGTTAGAAACACAAACTCCTGGGTTGGTAACAAAGCTTTGGTTATTATTAAGGTATAAGAAAACAACACCAGTACTAACTTAAAATACACAATGGTGCTTTTTTTGGGGGGGGGTGTAATTTAATCTACACTATATCCAGCCAGCAGCAGGCCTTTAACCTTTGCTAAGAATTCATCCCCAGGTACTGAAATAGAAGCCCAACTTTTCATCATGGATCAGTTCAAACATAATGTCAAACCATGGTTTATCAATACATAAACAAGCTTCAGGCTCACACTCTCCTTCCCTTCCTGCATTCCAACCCCTTCCGCGACTTCCAAGGTGTTCACAAATGAGGCAAAAACCCTGCAACACCTAGTATGTTTGCAGCAAACCAGACCTGGAAACTGTGGTTGTGGAAAGTGCCACAATGTCCAATTCTAGTTTGCAAGCAAATTTTTGTTTGTACACTATTTGGATGCATTGAAAAACTATGGCTTGACAGCAGTGTCAGAATTAGGGGTATCAAAAAGGAAGATGGGGTGCATATGTCCAAAGCTTACTCAAAGAACACCAAACCGTGGTCTGGCATCATGCCCAAACCGTAGGTAATGCCTATATTTTAAAATAGGCTGGGGAGACAGGAACACATTACGTAAGCTATGTTTTTCTCTTAGAATGTGCCATATGCTCCTAGAAACACTACACATTACTCTCCTCCTGAGTGCTTAAAATGCACACCACATCTCTGGCCAAATCAACCCTTGCTACCTATAGAAAGAGCAGAATCTGCTGGCCTCTCTGCACTGCCAAAAGGATCTGGAATCAGTGGCATAATCTGTGCCAAACTGAGTCTGCTGCCTTTGCAAGCATTCCCCCCCCCCCTTGGTATCAAAGTGGGATTATGGCTCTTCTCTCTTTCAAAGACACCCCCCCCCACCCAGTTACTCTGCTGCCGCTCCCAGCCATCTTGTTCTTCAGATGTCATTATCTGAGCACACTCCTAATCCAACCTCGGAGCAGCACAGAGTTTTGTTCTTGCTGGAGCCATGCCTATAGCGGATGCAAAAATTTTACATTAATGCTTTCTGAGCAGAAAAGATGTGCACAAACCCCCACACACAAACAATCCGCAGCTTGCAGGGCTCCCGTTGGGACTTGCTCAGTTCTCTTTGTAGGGCTCCACTTCTCTTCAATAAAAGAGTGACTAATTTATGAGAGAAAAGGCAAATTCAACAAATTAACGCACAGCCTGCAGGCTGGAACTGGTCTCGCCAAGAGCCTGGGCCCTGCTTCACAGTGGTTGCATGGTGCGCCACACACCTCGGGAGCTGTGCAGGAGGCGAGAAAGGGTCTTAACCAATGCAAGTTGACCTTTGTGTTGTTTCACAGTTGAAAGGGGCTCAGCATACCCTCTAACATTTATCCAATGAAAATAGGGACATCCCATTCCATAATGATAATTTTATTCTTTATACCCCACACATCTTATTGGGTTGCCCCAGCTACTCTGGGCAGCTTCCAGCATACATAAAAACCTAATAAAACATTTTAATTTTTTTTAAAAAAAAACCTTCCCTATACAAGATTGCCTCCAGACGACTAGGGGGTTGTATAATTCCATACCCTCCAATATTTCTCCAATGAAAATAGGGACATCCTAAGGAAAAATGGGACGCGGGTGGCGCTGTGGGTTAAACCACAGAGCCTAGGACTTGCCAATCAGAAGGTCGACGGTTCGAATCCCTGCGACGGGGTGAACTCCCGTTGCACGGACACTGCTCCTGCCAACCTAGCAGTTCGAAAGCACGTCAAAGTGCAAGTAGATAAATAGGTACTGCTCCGGCGGGAAGGTAAACAGCGTTTCCATGCGCTGCTCTGGTTCGCCAGAAGCGGCTTAGTCATGCTGGCCACATGACCCGGAAGCTGTATGCTGGCTCCCTCGGCCAATAAAGCAAGATGAGCGCCGCAACTGCAGAGTCGGTCACGACTGGACCTAATGGTCAGGGGTCCCTTTAACTTTTAAGGAAAAATGGGACATTCCGGGATCAAATCAGAAACCGGGACGGTTTCTCTAAATCAGGGACGTCCCTGGAAAATAGGGACACTTGGAGGGTCTGGGCTTTGCTGCCTGGTGAAGACTGCAAGTTGTAGCTGCTGGTGGGCAGGCCTGAGGCTTATAAAGCCTGCAGAGGCCTTCATTATTATATTCTACATTTTCAGCTTCCAAGTTTATAACAGGAAAAAAGTACAAGCACGACTCTATCCAGTTTAGTTGATTGCTTTTCCCTCCCCCGTTTAGTTGCTTGCTAAGGACTAGATAGCTCATATGCAATGCTAAACAAGGGATGGAGGAACCTGTGACCAAAGGGTGTTATGTATTGTTACATTTGTACCCTGCCTTTCTCACACCGTGGAACCCATGGTGGCGGACGTGTGGTTCCCAGGTGGCCACCCATCCAGACTCAGGTTTTCTTAGCTGCAGCAAGGTGGTTGGTACCCTCACCAATAGTCAGCAGGGATGGGAACTGGAGTCTCAACAACTGCTAGAGGGCACCATGCTGAGGAGAGATGCTAACGAAGAATGACAAATGAATCGTGTTTAATGACATTTCACAGCCCCATTCGCAAACTACAAATATGAAGGGGGTGGATTTGGGCCAGTTTTGTGGGGAGGCACAAAATTCACTGCTGCTGTGCCAGAGCTACTCCCAGTGGCTATTATTTTCCTTTCTCAAAGTTCCCATATAAGCAATGCCTATGTCATAATGTAGTGTTAGTCCCACCACATGGTCTTCTGGGAATGCATATGGTGGCTTTCGGGAGCAACCCCTACCCAGCTTTAGACTCCTCCGCCCTCAAAGGTTGATGGGTCAGCCTCTTGTTTCATCATGGTAAAAGTAAAGGGACCCCTGACCATTGGGTCCAGTCGCAGACGACTGGGGTTGCGGCACTCATCTCGCTTTACTGGCAGAGGGAGCCAACGTTTGTCCACTGACAGTTTTTCTGGGTCATGCAGCCAGCATGACTAAGCCACTTCTGGCGAAACCAGAGCAGCACATGGAAAAGCCGTTTACCTTCCTGCCAGTGTGGTACCTATTTATCTACCTGCACTTTGATGTGCTTTCAAACTGCTAGGTTGGCAGGAGCTGGGACCGAGCAACGGGAGCTCACATGATCTTTTGCGTGGATGGTACCACTGGACAGACATCCATTAATACTTCAAAGTCTGCACAGGTTTTCTCTCTTCTTGGCAAAAACATCATGCTCTAAAAAAGTCCTGAATAGGATGCGTGGTCAGGCCAGGCCGGCTCCTGGTTATCAAAGCAGCTGCCGCTGCGGCACAAAAAATCCAGATGGGCTCTCTCCGCCCCTTGGTCCCCCATGGCAGCGCTGGCGCTTCTTCACTCCTCCCCGCTCTTCGGAGCCCACCATGACCTGGGCAGCCCTAGTGCCCCAGGAGGGTGGCTGTCTTGGAGGAAGGACAGTCCAAACTGTAAGGTGAAGTTCATGACAGCATGCACTGCTCACAGAAAAGCTGTTTCTCAGAAGGTTGCCTTACCATGCGTGCTGTATTCCAGAGCATGCTGCAGTTGGGCCAGTGTGCTCCCTTGAGCCCCAAACTGCAGAAGCCCCAAAGAGAGAGACACGCTCATTGGGGAAATGGCGAGGTTCGTTCCATGGTTGAGCTCTGGCCAGCATTGGTAGAGTGTGATGGCAAACTCCGTGCTCAGGTTCTGTGGTTCATGGAGTCAGTATAAAAGCTGCCCTTCCCCTGCTCTCCCTCCAGGCCTTCAAATATTATGTCATTTAAATGGAAAAGAAGAGAAGGTTAGCAATTATAACTGTTTTAGGGACTTTCTTATAAAGTATACCCTAAACATATCATTGGAAATAGACATTACCTTCATGTTTTCCTTGGCATTTCTTCCTCCTGCCATCTTCCTCCAGGTCAGGATGGCAGGAGGTCTGCAGAGCGTACAGGGGAAACAAAGAGCCACATGGGATATGTTTATTTTCTGAACCTCGAAATAGGCCTCAAACAGTTACAGAGAGACCTTTCCTAAGAATCCTTAGGGACTGCTATTTCTCTGGAAGCAACATCTATACACTGAAGGGTTTTACCTTTGCAGTCTTCTGAAAGAGGGGTCTGGAGGGTGAGACGGAGAGAGAGGTGGTGGGCGAGGGGGAGGTGCTGGGAGAGGAGAAATTTTATTTTTTCTTCCCAGACGGGAAAAGACTTTTCTCAGCCTTGAAAGTCTAGAAATGGGACTCATAGTTAGTACTCTCTAATGCCTCTAAGCTCAAGAGGAAATCACTATCATCACAGAATACAGATGCTGAGAGAAATCCTACTTACACGTCTATCTTCTTCCTGTAACAAATGCAACATGATCCAACCATAGGAGCTCACCAGGCCTCTTAGTACTTTGGTGACCAGTGAGCCAGCAGAGGGAGGTGTCACAATGGCTTCTGTAAATCTGGGGCTGTCCCTGGAAAATAGGGAGACTTGGCAGGTCTCCTGAGATGCCCAGATGGGAAACCACCAGGGAACCCATGATATGGTGCTTAGAATTATACAGACAAAAAGTACTACGTAAATAAATACATATGTAGATCCCGCTCGCTGTCTTGGCTTCCTTTTTAGCCGCGGGGCTGGGGCGGGGGAAGCCTGAGCTTCCCCTGACCCCAGCCCCCAGAATGGGTCTGGGAGCAGGGGCGAGGTTGCACGCAATCTCGCCTTCGCTCCCGGAGCTTGCTGCTATCCGCAAGCCTTGGGAGCCCGGCGGGAACTCCAGCCGCGCTCCGAAGGCTTGCAGATAGCTGCCCAAAGCCCGGGGTTTGGGCTGCAGGCTGCTATCCGCAAGCCTTCGGAGCCCGATGGGAACTCCTGCCATGCTCCGAAGGCTTGCAGATAGTTTCCTGAAGCCTGCATTTGCTCCATAGGACGCACACACATTTCCCCTTCATTTTTGGAGGGGAAAAAGTGCGTACTATAGAGCGAAAAATACGGTAGGTTTGATGAGGCCCTAAGCTACTGAAGGTAATGGGGCCCTTTATATGTCCAGCTGTGCTTTGTCAGCAACAAATTGTTGCTGTTTTTTGTGTTGAATATATGCTATATGGTAATTTATGGAACTAAGAGGTATCTAAAGCCATTTTATTTGTTTTTTATCTTATATTTTGGAAATGTAAATCCAGTTTTTTCCCTTTAATTTTTTTGGGGGGCCCCAAGAGAGTGGGGCCCTAAGCTATAGCTTGCTTAGCTTATATGTAAATCCGGCACTGGACATAGGGTAGATCAAATCTTAATTCTGCCTAGGGCTGTCAGCCAATTAAAAAATACATCAGTTGATTAATTAGATTAATATTAGATAAGTAGCCAATTAACAAATTTGGGTTTAAGAGCAAAACCCAATAGGTGAAGACACCAACAGTCTTTCCATTTTCAGAAGGATTCAATCATGTGACACAGAAAAATATGAGTGGACTTAGAGGAGGCACCACTTTCTGCATGATACCGTTCTCCAACACCGTGCTCTCCAGATGATTTGGACAACTCCTCCCATCAGCCCCAGGCAGCACGGTGGCTGAGGCTGATGGGGATTTCATTCCAAAGCAGGCATAGGCAAACTCAGCCCTCCAGATGTTTTAGGACTACAACTCCCATCATCCCTGACCACTGGTCCTGTTAGCTAGGGATGATGGGAGTTGTAGTCCCAAAACATCTGGAGGGCCGAGTATGCCTCTGCCTGTTCCAAAGTATCTGGAGGACACCATGTTGACAAAGGCCATTGTAAGAGAAAGAAAGGGGAATGCCTCTTAAGAAAATAAGCTGGCTAGCACCATCTTAAGTACCTTATAATTAGAGGCACTTTTTTAGTTGATTAAAAGAGACTTTTTGGAGGGAAATTAATGAACCTTACTGATTAAGACCACAGTCCTTTGCACATTTATGTGGAAGTCTAACCACATTCTGTGGGTCTTGCTTCTGAATAAACCTGCACAGGATTCCTCTGCAAATCAATTAAACATTGCACCACTAATTATAAGCTATCATTTTGGAAAGTGCGGGGAGGGGGGGTGTTAGGGGAGGAAATCCGAGCCTTAAAATTAACCTGGCACCATACATTTCTCCAATGTAGTCACTGCAACTCAGTCCTCCATCAATGCCCTAACACTTCCACGTTTCTGGCTCTTCTCTGAAATTTGGATGGGTGTGTGGGAGAGAATTACACCATATAGAAACATTTTCTCCCTGCTCCTTTGTTTTTGCTAGGAATCTTTCACTTCTGTTTCATGTCAGCAATCTGCCTGAGCCAAGAGACAAGTACAGGGACGCAGAAGCTCATATACAGCAGGGTGGCTCCCAGCCACACCTTAAAGGTGCACAGTGCCCTAGCTAGCACCCTGAGAGGCGCTCCTCAACGCCTTCCTTGGCACAGCCGTCCTTTTGGCACCGGCTGGGACTCCTACACTCAAACTGAGGCAAATGCAAGGGTTTTGCAATTTCTTGGGGAAAAGTGAGAGGCAGGCTGCCTGCGGGCTTCAGACAAAAAAGAGCTTTTTTGAGATCTTGTTCTGCTCTTAGCTAGGAAAACAGCTGCACTGCACAATCAAGAGTGTGGGGGTGGGGAATAAAGGGAAAATTGCCGACATCTTCCACTTTGAAGAGAGCCACTCCTAGAAAACATTTAATTTATGATACATGGTCTGGAAGATTTTATGCTGCTACTGAAGTTTCCCAAACTTGGGATGGGGTGGGGAGGAATTCCACCTCCTGGATTAAAATTGGAAGCCCTACTTACACAAGTATCCTACTTTTATATCCCATCTTTCCTCCCAGCTGCTCAAATAAACATTTCCCTCCTTATCCTCACAACTACCCTGTGAGGTAGATTAGGCTGAGAGATGCTGGCTGGCCCAAGGTGACTCAGGGAGGTTTATGACCTAGTGTGAATCTGAATCCTAGCTACCCGCTGGTCCTAATCCAACACTAGCCACTATACCACACTGACTCTCAACTCACACCCCAAAATATATACATTTGGAAGAAGGCCTATCAGTCATTTAACAGAGACTAACCTTCTGTATGTGTCCATAGGAGCCCGTTATAGAACCACCTGCCTGTAGGAGAAGGTCATTTTAATTGGGTCTGTATTGGGAACACCTGAACCACTTTCCAACACAGGAGGTAGTGGAGGCTGCCTCTAATTGGTGAGGTGCAGTGCTAAAATTTTCTGCTGGTGTTTCCCAAATAGTACCATATTTACTTGAGTCTAAGTGCCATTGAATCTAATGTGCACCTCAATTTTCAGAACCTTGAAACCCCCAAAAAGTATTTGCTGGTGAATGTAAATGTGCCATCGAATCTAATGTGCACCTTAATTTTCGCAATGTAATTTGGCCAAAAAAGGTGAACTTTAGATTCGAGTAAATACAGCATATTTTTCTGTGGGAAACATTCCAATATTGGGTATGCCTTCTTTTAATAATAAATATTAGTGAAATAATGAATTAAAGAAATACAAATCAAATTGGGCAGCAGGAATGTATTGAATACTAGATAAATCTAAAATCAAAGTTTAAAGTATTATCATTTTCCAGGTGACTACTCTTAGGAAGCATACAGTTCTTCAGACATGCTCCAATTAGTATGTTAACAGTTTCCAAGTGCCTTTATTTGCTCACACAAGCCACTTAAAAATCTAAATAATGTCCAGGTAAGTGTACGCTATTGAGCTGAAACGTCTTAATATCTACACGCATTCCAATAAAAATAATTTACAAGGGCTGCATCCAATGCTGGTCCTACTCAGAGTAGACCTAGTGAAGTTAATGGTCATGCCTAACATAGGCCCATTCATGTCACAGGGTCTGCTCTGAGTAGGACCTCGGTTGGATACAACCCCAAAACATTGGATTTGCTTGAATATAACATTTAAACCATATTAGCAGTGCAGTCAGATACATGCCTACCTGGTTTATTCCCAGGTAAACCGATACAGGGTTTCATCTTAAGTGCGTTTCATTGATTCCCTCCCTGCACCCCGCTCCTCCTCCAAATCAAATATTTAAACTGAACTGCTTTTGTCTACTGGGGATCCAGTTTTTAATGCCTGTTCCAATATTTTAACAAAACCTTGGGGGGACTACCTGTGGGTCTCCCTTTCTCAAGAACGCCCATTTTCTCCTTGTCCGCTGCTGCCTCTGGCCGTTTAGTTGCCCCTCCCTTTGGACCCAATCCCTTCTGGGGGAAAGGAGCAAGGCATGTGGAGGTCACTACGCCTCCTTGCTGAATCTGAAAGAGGAAAGGAACAGCCAATCACAGTAGCAGCAGAGGTCAGAAGGACCCAGGAACTTGCAGAGCGGCCATGGCATGTGCCTGATAATGAGAACTAACCACGACATCCCTGATCTACTTACAGAAAATTAAAATCAGCTTTTCCAACTGCTGGATCCAGGAAATTCTGCGGAGTTACGAGACAGCTGTGGGCTGGTAGCTTCCCCATCAATTTCTTCTGCCCCTCGCCAGTTCAACTGCTCTCCCTGTGATTGGAAGAGTCTACAATCTGCACTATGCACTACATCAACCATCATGGAGAGACAGACATACTATCAATCCAGCACTAAGATTTTGCCCATTTTGTGCTGGGGTTTAATTATAAGGTACTTTGGGAATAGTTAACTGGGAAAGGAGTGTATAAATGGCAATAAATGTATATGCTGCAAAGCAGAAGATCCATGAGCTATTTACCCATCCAAACAAGGACCAACAACCCCACACTTGCTTAGCCAGGGATTCTATACCACAAATCCCGTGACTGGTGTGTTAGGGCCCACTGCTGGGATACCTTTACTATAAAGTAAACAGAAGTAGCAATGGGGACCATGTTAATCTGACAAAAGTATCAGAAATACTTTTTTTTTTTAATAACCAAAGCTGGTTGAACTTAAATACCGTATTTTTCGCTCTATAACACGCACCCGACCATAACACGCACGTAGTTTTTAGAGGAGGAAAATCCGTAGGCATGCCACCCGTAGGCATTCCCTCCATAACACGCACAGACATTTCCCCTTACTTTTTAGGAGGGAAAAAGTGAGTGTTATGGTGCAAAAAATACGGTACTTTATTCAGCCTAGGTGTGTAGTATGTTCCACAAATCACACTTAATGTAGTTTAAATGTTAAATAGAAACTATCTTCTTCTTGTTGTTGTTATTTAATAATAATAATAATAATAATAATAATAATAATTCCCCACCCTTCCCCCTAAAGTGTCAAGGTGGATTGCAACAATTAAAACACAATGTTAAAAACAGATTAAAACAATTTACAATCTCAGAAATAAGGTGAGACCTAAAAATTAGAGCACTCTCTCTAGGGCATTAGTGTTTTTTTCTAATGCAAAAGAATTCCAATACAAATTAATTGACCCTGATTTAATCCCCCTCCCCATAATAATAACAATAATAATATTTTTTTATTTATACCCCGCCCATCTGGCTGGGTTTCCCCAGCCACTCTGGGCGGCTTCCAACAAAACACTAAAATACAATAACCTATTAAACATTAAAAGCTTCCCTAAACAGGGCTGCCTTTAGATGTCTTCTAAAAGTTTGGTAGTTATTTTTCTCTTCCTCTCGGGCAGAACGATGGAGGTGGAGACGCTCCTTCAGGTATACTGGACCGAGGCCATTTAGGGCTTTAAAGGTCAGCACCCACACTTTGAATTGTGCTTGGAAACGTACTGGGAGCCAGTGTAGGTCTTTCAAGACCTGTGTTATATGGTCTCAGCGGCTGCTCCCAGTCACCAGTCTAGCTGCCGCATTCTGGATTAGTTGTAGTTTCCGGGTCACCTTCAAAGGTAGCCCCACATAGAGCGCATTGCATTAGTCCAAGCGAGAGATAACCAGAGCATGCATCACTCTGGCAAGACAGTCCACGGGCAGGTAGGGTCTCAGCCTGCGTACCAGATGGAGCTGATAAACAGCTGCCCTGGACCCAGAATTGACCTGTGCCTCCATGGACAGCTGTGAGTCCAGAATGACTCCCAGGCTGCGCACCTGGTCCTTCAGGGACCCCATTCAGGACAGGGGAGTCTTCCACACTCACCCGCCTCCTGTCCCCCAAAAACAGTACTTCTGTCTTGTCAGGATTCAACCTCAATCTGTTACAAATCCCACATCATGGGTAGGTAGGTGGATAGATAGCTGTGATTCCTGGGGATAAACTCCTGGGGGGAAAAGTTAATTACAACTTTGGAACTTCACAAATTTGAGTCGTATTGTGAATCCAACAATTATGTTACTAATTCATTTTATGAAGCAATATCTTTAGAACTGTGCCACAGAGGAAAAGCATATAGTAATATAGTAGTGGGAAATATTTCATCTTATGTCGCTGATTATGATGAATTTCATAAGCTGGCTTGGGACCCTAAAGTCAAAAGGTGGGGTAAATATTTTTTTTTTAATGGAATAAAACAAAATTAAGCGCACAAGTTCTGGAAACACAAATCAGAAAGCGAGTACTATTTCCTAACCATTGCAGTTGTTCTCACCAGCACTGTAAATACTGGAGTCTCGGCTGAGTCTTTTTGCCACCTAAACCCCAGTGGGGCTGGTCGTGGCGGGAAACAGGAAGCTTTCTGTACATGCTCTAAAGCACTCCTTCTTGTTCAACTATTCAACTAGAAATAGTTGAACATTTGATAGATAAGGCAAAGATATGTACAATGTTATAACATGCAGAGAATAATATGTGCAAAGAAATCAGAGAGGGGAGCTGAGGGAAGTCCTTAGTGGGGGGGAGCGGGAGGGATGGCGGGGCGGAAGGGGGGAAATAATGTAATTGATTATTTAGATTGATAATTTGGTATGTTGAAATTGCTTAATAAAAAAATATTAAAATAAAGCACTCTTTCTTGGAATTCAAAATAAGCATAGAAACCATCAATCTCACTCACTCACACACCTTTTGGAAGAGTTTAGCTAGCTACTTATTTTGGAAGAGAGGAAGAAGCAGCTTATTTCCTGTAAGGAGATTTCAAACACACTGTGTGTGTGTACACACAGATGCATACATACATACATATATATGTACACCTGAGAGCCCGAGCGGGGAATGAAGAATCCCAAGGCCATGCAATTGTCCTTGAATCCAAGACTGCAAGACTGAACAAGGACGGCTTTCCCCCACTTTTTGGCAGGGACTTTTTTTAAACAAACAAACTGAAGAAACGCTGAGGATTTAAGTAAACAGCAGAAGATTTATCTGACAGGCCAGCTAAGGAGTCTCTCTTCCCTCTCGTCCCCCTTCACAGACATGGCTGAGAGTTCACATTGCCCAACTTCTCCAAAAGCAGCACCTCATCAGTATACCGCCCCCCATGAGAGACACCCTGTCCAAATGCAACAGACAAAACTCCCCTCCCAAAAAGAAGGCTACTATTTTCTTGACGGTGGCAAAGCGTGTGTGTGTGAGAGAGGGGAGCAAATTTGCTTGCCCATAAAATGACTCTTCACCCATCCCCCATTCCTGATCTCCAGATTTCTGTAGTTACTAGAATAAAACATTTTCACATGCAAAAAAAATGGGGCGTAAATTGGAATTTTTTTTAAAAAAAGGCTGGCGTACTGAGCAGGCTTCCTTTAAAGTTCAGTCCTATGGATTTGGATGGGAGTTTCTATCAGAGAAAATGCATTTAGGACAGGTTTGCCTGGCCCCTCTCCTCACATTCAGAAGAGGTTAAAGCCATTTCCTACATGACCAATAATTTCAGATCAGATTGAAATGGACACTGTCCTCCTCCACTGACCCCCTGTGAACAGGCCCTGGACATCAATAAAGTTTAAAAAACAGAGTGATGCCAGTAATAAATTCGCATAACCTTCTCAAACTGTATTAAGATTTCCTCAGAAAGTTACCTCAGAAAGGAAAACTCAGGGTTTTCCGGGAGGAAAAGGGAGTTCTTTATTACACAAGGATTGAGAGCCTTGCCTCTCCTTCACCCAAATGCACTTCTATGGACTTTATTTAACTTTAAACTCCTCTTTTCTTAGAAGAAGCATGGGTTCTCCTCAGGACTCCATGCAGTTCTCTCATATCATCTCATGAGGCAGCAAGCAAGAGAACCTCCATTTTTAGCACATGTGACGCCATCTTGAATAATCATCCAAAGGACTACTTAATGCTCTTCAAACTTCTTTGTGTAAAGAAAAACCCTGACAGAAAAATCATAATGTACCAACTTATGAAAATATAGATAATGAAATATAGTCTCAGTTTTCAGCATCTTGATTAATAACCCTCCATTGTTGTTGTTGATTAGTTGTTTAGTCGTGTCCGACTCTTCATGACCCCATGGACCAGAGCATGCCAGGCACTCCTGTCTTCCACTGCCTCCCACAGTTTGGTCAGACTCATGTTGGTAGCTTCGAGAACACTGTCCAACCATCTCGTCCTCTGTCGTCCCCTTCTCCTTGTGCCCTACATCTTTCCCAACATCAGGGGCTTTTCCAAGGAGTCTTCTCTTCTCATGAGGTGGCCAAAGTACTGGAGCCTCAGCTTCAGGATCTGTCCTTCCAGTGAGCACTCAGGGCTGATTTCCTTAAGAATGGATAGGTTTGATCTTTTTGCCATCTATGGGACTCTCAAGAGTCTCCTCCAGCACCATAATTCAAAAGCATCAATTCTTCAGCGATCAGCCTTCTTTATGGTCCAGCTCTCACTTCCATATATCACTACTGGGAAAACCACAGCTTTAACTATATGAACCTTTGTTGGCAAGGTGATGTCTCTGCTTTTTAAGATGCTGTCTAGGTTTGTCATCGCTTTTCTCTTCAATGCTTCTGTCATGTGAGGAGAGCTTTTACTCTCCCCAAAATCATACCCGCTTATGAAAAATATATAACCATTAACTTTTAACTAATTGATCCACATAGACTATTTAGTGAGGGATATATGTTTGTGACTGAACCTCCAAATGTTGCTGAAGGGTGAAACTCTATAAAGAAGCGGGGGGGGGGGGGTTGAGAAAAGGGAAAGAGGGAGATATTATCTCAAAAGTCCTGCTTATTACCCACAACCCTGCAAAGTGTGAGTGTGTGTGTAGATTGCTTGTCCCAAAAGACAAGCTGCAAAACTACAAAAATAAAAGTGGGTTGCTGAGAGTTGGAGAAATCTCCTTTTCTAGAAAGGCCCGCTTCGTGCTCACTTCTGCCCCATTTCAAATATTTTTACCTTATTTGGATAAAATATATTATTTTTCTAATGGAAGGAAAGCTTCCCCCTCCGCTCTAAAGAGTTGGTTTTCCCCCTTCAGTCCAGCTGCCTGCCTTTATTAGGTTAATGTTTGCTCCCTTTAGTGGGGGATGAGATTGTATTGGTGGTGTGTTCCCTCAGCTGAGAAGCACAGCTAATCACACACAATTCAGGATTCCCATTACACAAGCAATTGCCCCTTGCTTGTCCTGTTTAATTTTGTTTCCAAGTTGCTTCCCCCTGC